TTTAACGTTCAATATTATTTACGATTTTAACTTTACACACAAGTGCCAAATTACTATAATTATGATGATTACTTGTTTCGGAAACTCGCGCAAAGCTACAAGGCCTATCTACGCTTGCCGTCCCTCATCTTGAACTGATGGACTAGGGGGAGGGCAACTCGCCAACAGCACACACACCGCCAACTCTTCTCGAATATTGGAATTTGAATGTCACTCATATATAATATCACACGAATCATGAACCTTTCAATTTCCAGTTTGACAAGGTAACAAGCAGAATACGCTAGGCCCGCAAAACAATGAAATAAGTGTACAATATAAAAATAAAAACATTAACTTTCGATTTTGCGTGCTCTTTAATTTTTTCAAATTCTAAAATATTTATTGAAAATCTAGGTTAGTCGAATATAATGAGGAATATGCGAAAATGTGATAATAATAATGTAGTTAGTTAGGCTTAGTTGTTGGATAATAATTAAACTCAACTCCCATCCCCGCCTACGATTTGAAACGCACAGCGATACTTCTTACTTGCCACAACGATTTTGTTATTCGGATTGCCGTTAACAATAAAATCAATAATCAGATGTCGTTTTTTATATCTTACAAATATACGCATCTAATAATTTTATTTATTAACTTGTGTACAAGTTTAACATACAACTGTTTTTTTTTTATATGCTAAAAATCCAAATACTTAAAGAATCTCGTAGGTTCTGATTAAGTTATTGAAAGTCTATAAAGTGTATTTAACTTTTCACTAGATGGCGCCAATATTTGATAAACCAGAATATTAGAATAACTTGTTTGGTTGTTTGTAATTAATTACAAAGCTGCACAATGGGCTATCTGTGCTCTGCCTACCATGGGTATCGAAACCCGGTTTCGAGCGTTGAAAGTCCACTGGGGGACGTTAGAATAATCTCATACCTTCTGATTAGGCTATTGAAAGTTCATGCACAATAAAAACTTTGAATGTAGTTAGGTTCTTCAGTTTTTAATCATGATAAATTCCTCAAAGTAATACGGTTCTTCAGTTTCCATGTAACTTAACCAAAGTTGGTGAAAATGTCTTATACTTAAGCGGAAATAACGCAAAACAGCACTACAAAAGCATGGTCAAGTTAAATTCAGAGAGCCCATGATTAAACCCTTATGAATATCATATTTATTACAATCCACTTGGAAACTTAGAACGATACATAAGCTAAAGTCGATACTCTCAATCTAATAAAGTCACTTAAAATCTAAACATCCAGTAGGCCTGTTAACATATTTTAATAAGTTAATGAAATAATCTAGTAAACGAAAATATTCACTACAGAAATATTTTAACGTGTACCATTATTAGTTTTCTTTTACTTGCTGTAAGTATAAGGCTTCTTACAATCAGACAGTTCTGTGGTTAATTGTCCTGAAAGAAAGAAGGGGCAGTATTAGAATTTTCGGCTTGTTCAAGATGTATTTATCTTTATATAGTGAATTATTGTATAAAAATAGCTAGTCAAAGAAATAGTTTTCCAGATAACAGCACTCACTTCGAGTTCTTGGTCTTTTGTGTCACGAGGCAAGGCCAAGGTGATAAGTGCCGTTAGGCCTGATACAACTGCATAGATTCCAACAGCCAACTTAGGTTCCACCTTCATCAAAACCTGTGGGCAAATTAGCAAACACTTACATCGAAATGTATTTTATGAACTTTTACTGAATAAAGGGCCGTAACCTCTAGGGGTGGGGTCAAGAGGGTCGGCTGCTCCCCCTGAAATTGCTGTGCAAAATGAAATAAAAGGCATACAAATTCTAAAGAATTATGTAACTTATGAAATATAACTATTTAGCAGTTACAAGAATTAAGATGGGGATAATTTTAAACTTCTAAATATATTTATAACTTCGCCCTGTTAAGCCTCGGGGTCTTTGCGATTGTTGCTCCCCTGTAAAGTTGCAGGGCCTGGAATATTTATGGCACATTAAAAAAACTACGTATTATGATTATTGCTTCTTTGGTTTTACAGTGATAAATATAAAATATCAATAACTTTTCCCTTAAATGTTAATACAACCTACTTGTTGTACACTATAATAATGAATTTATAATCAGAACTTGTAATTACATACTTTTTCAGACTTTGTTATATTTTAGGTCATTTTATAAAAGTGGAACATACTTAGATCATTACCACTACTATACGATTCAATGCAACCAATGATATTAGTGTAACAGAAAAAAAAGTAAAGACTATACATTTGATTTGGTTACACGTTTCATCTTAATTTTCATTAACAACTTTTCAAAAATATTTTCAGGCGTTCTATTTAGTCGGTCTCCGATTGGTACTTCGTAAATCAGTCGGAGAGAGAGAGAGAGTATTGAATTATTAATAGTTATGTACATGTGACGTCATTTTAGATAAAAGGAACAACCACAGACACAGAAATTTTGGGCAAATACAGTAGTTACTGTTTGCGTCACATATAATAATTGATATCGTTTACCTTAGCTTTAAAATTACTTACTGTACAAATATAAAACGAACAACTGAGAGTTTTTTGTTTTGTTTTTTAAGACAAAGTAAATTTTTTGTTTTTAGACTTATTTGCCGAAACTACAAAAAAAAAAAGAAGCTCGGAACAAACGATATGTAGGGCATGCTACTAATTTTAGAAGTGAGAAAAAGATTACAAACAACCAGTTTTATGCATTTGTCTGTTGAATTCGAGCAAAGCTACTCGAAGATTACGTGTACTAACTTTGAATATGATAGACTATAGGAAGGGCAACTAGCCAACATTACCCACCGCCTACTCTTGGGCTATTCTTTACCAACTGAAAGTGGAATTGACCGTCACATAATAACGCCTCCTCAGCTGTAATTGTGAGTATGTATGGTGACGAGATATTAACCCCGACTGGCGGATTTCGAGTCGAGCGTCCTAACACCAAATGCCGAAAAATAACCCGACACAAAAAAAAGACTTAAAACAACTTATTATGAATAATTTGTTTGTGAACTTTATTTGTTATATTTCATTTGCCCAAACAATCAATTACTTAGTACTTGATTATCTTGTCAACAGAAAAGTTTCATATTTTGTCTTTATCATCTTAACCAGGCATTTACTTACTATTAACCTTTCCATCTTCTGTGCTCGTTTATTAATATTCGCCTTAGAATTAACAAATTTGTAGATGAATAAAATCTAGAAAGTACATTTTCCGCCATCATGTGACAAAAACAAAAACTACCACATCTACCCAGGAATTTCTCTTTTTACGTGACCAAACCATTATTTTATATCTATGTGCCAAACAGCAGCTTTTCAAAGGCGCCCTCTTCAGTAAGGTGATATAATCACGGATTTCTGCTTTTTTTATATTATAAACCAACGAATATTGTTTATTTCAATTTACCGGAAATAAAATAAATAAAAATATAAACATTTATATAATTATTCTTATAAAACAAAGATTTACATGTATATACAATTAAAATTTTTAATTGATTTAGTGCACGAGATACATTAGTAAATTATTAAAACGTATTTTCTGTATATTTTAAGAAAGTTGTTCAACATATCTATTTGTTCTTTATTATAATCCGAAATCCTATAAAGTTTATTGCACTATTAAACATAGCAGCAACAAAATATGTTTTAGTAAGTAATGGTACAACTACATAAAATAACAGACTATTTGATTTTGGAAATATATCAAATATCTTTCCTTACCATTATTTGCCTACTTTTGATCAATATTTTTTTTGTAAATTCTTTTAGTAATTTGAATAATAAAGATTTAATATAACACGCGATAATTTATTGTTCATTCTTATAGTTAAGAAACAAATACTAGTAGAACTTAGAATAACTGGCATCCATAAACATTTTTACAGTGTATAGTTTTCTCTTTCCTAAGATACGTAAATAATTCAGCAGGTGAAGCTAGTACACGATAGTAAAGTAAATGAGTGTTAAGCCTAACTTAATTTTTATTCCTTACCTGGGCTATAAAAGGTGTTATCATAGCTCCAAAGCGACCAAACCCGGCATGAAATCCAAATGCTAAAGCACGATTAGTCGTCGGGTAGACCTACTTTTCAGAAACATTATTAATATTAATAATCTCACTTACAATCAATGTTGTCACTTCTGTATTATTTTGCCACGTTACAGAATTTATTGAATCACTTGTTTCCTGCTTTTACACAATACATTCAATGCATTGAGTAAAATATAATGTTCATATTTTACAATTGGACTAGATTATAGTTATGATAATTCTGTGAAAGACTTTACATATCACGTAATTATCAATTTCAAACCTAAGATGAATGTTACCAAAGACATGCACAGTTTTTAAACTATTGTGATGTGGCTCTTTGCTGTATTCAGCTTGAACAGCATCTTATGCACACATAAACCCACTTTTAGCCCATGATCAGAGACTGCAATAGTTCAGGTATAACCATCCCTAATTTTATACTGCTTACCAGCCAGCAGCTCCCGCTGAAACCAAATAACGGAATTGATTGTAACTCTTATAACGTATGTGCAAATGTAAGTTTGGGGCGTGTTCAAAAACAGTTCTAATTGTTAGCGCTAGGTCTCTATATCTCTGATATATACAAGCATGATTTCTACCATTAAGAATTATAAATAGCTATTGAAATATATTTTAGAGATTTTTCTGTAAAGTCTTAAATTAAATCTTCAGCATGTGAAAAACAACAACATATATAAGTGTACATGTATAGTGTATAGGCATAATATTTGTGATAAGAATCACACTTTACTGCAGACGGTTTTTCCAAATTTCTTTTATGGTATGTGAAACATATCAAGCGTTTATCTTCCTTTTCGTTCAGACAGGTGAACATGTTATGTTCACTGAAAGTTTTCAAAATCTGTAACACATATCGTTAGATATACACGACTGTTTCAATTTAAATTCATTGTTTGCTTACCTATTGTTGCGTCAGCGAGTCACATGACTACTGTGACGCCACGTTTCTAGAACTATCCTGTAC